GACTTTCAACTGCAAAGCTGCAGAAGCCAAGCTGGACAGAAGCCAGAAGAAAGCTTTGGCCTCGAAGTTTCAGTGGGAGAGGAGAACTGGTTTTTTTGTTGTTTGTTTGTTTCTTTGTTTGTTTCTTGGTGAGGAAGGAAAAGCTTAACTTTTTAAAAAGAGAAGGGAGGGGGAAATGGGGAAAGAAAACAAGGAGGACAAGGACAATTTACAAGGTCTTTCAAGACCAACTTTAAGCTGAGTTCAAACCTAGAACTGGAGGCAAAGACCACGGCATTCAATAGAGTGGGACGGAAGTGAGGTTCTTACAGACAGGACCTACTAGTTTACTGAAGGCCAAGGCCTTCTCAGAGAAAGGAAATAGAAGGAGAGGATGTTTCCTAAGGGAAGATACTTTAGAATGTACATATTTTATGCTGGGCATGGTACCAAATGCCTTAATTCCAGCACTCAAGAGGCAGAGGCAGGAGGATCTCTGTGAGTTTGAGGCCAATGTACAGAGTTCCAGGGACAGCCAGAGCTACACAGAGAAACCCTGTTTTGAAAAGCCAAAAAACAAAAGATAGCAGTTGTTTAGTGATTTTACAGAAAAAGTATCTGGGATGATTTTTAAGAGTAGATCATCTGAAGACCAGTGAGATGGCTCAGGGGCGAAGTTCTTACTAATCAAGCCAGGCAACCTGGGTTTGATCCCCAGAACCCACCCCAAGGTGGATGGAAAGAAGCAACAGCACAAAGCTGTTTTCTGACCTACACGTGTATACTGTGGCATATCCTCCCTCACCACACACACACACACACACACACACACACACACACACACACACACACAGTAATACATTTTTAATTAAAAAAAAATAGGTTACTGGGATAATCTGACTGGATATGTAGTTCTAAAGAGATACAATCATTCACTATTTCTAAGTTTCACGCACAGCATGTTGGAAGAAATAAAGCCTCTGAATGGTTGTGCAGAGCAAGTGTGTAAAATGATGTGTATTGGGGAGGAGGGTATCTGTGGCGAGTCTGATGTGCACCTAGTTATTTATTGAAAGGAATGGATACCAGATCCCCTAAGCCTTGCTGTGAAAAGTCTCTTGGAGGATGTTCAATGTTCAAATTGTGCTTAACTTACCCTAATTTCCAGCTAACTCTAGCATGCCCCAAGGGCACAGGGCACTATACTTAACAGATTTTCTAAGGCCTGCCCAGACAGATATGCAGTGTTCTTGTAGATCCTTGGCTCTGTAAGGGCATAGGTATTTATGGGTGGCCCAACTTCTTTCCCACAACCAATTAAAGGGGAGGGCCTGATGTAAGCTCAGGCTCATCCAAGAAGTGTGGGGGTGGGGGTGGGGGTGGGTAGGTGGGGTACTCTTTTCACAAGGATTAGTAGGCTAAATGCATGTCAATTTGGGCCATTAGTCTCTTCTGAAGAACTCCTAGAGTACTCTATAGTCCTCCAGGACACTGGTGCTAGTGGAGGGTTTTGCAGTCTCCTTTGTCTGGGCTCAGACGATCTAAAATGCCACTCACTTTCCTATTGTAGTTCCCAAGGTCTGTCCAGACTGCATTTCTAACATTTGCCTTCTCTCACACTAGTGTTTCTGTCTGAAAATTACACGTATTCCCAGGTGTTTTCAAGGAAAACGCTGGAAATGACTGGAATGCCTGCTAGTTGATTAGGGAGAGTTTGCAGAGACATAATTGTGCCTTCATTTGTATTCTAGCCTGTTGAAGTCTGAGGCCGGAGATTTATCAGCAGTTCTATGTCATTGCTGTCCTAATCAAGTTGTCTGTATGCCTGAAAGACCTTTGTTGTTTTAGCTCCAATGCTGTTTGTCACAGGAGCCGGTACCTGATTATATCACTGTTGAGACTCCACAATCCAGGCCTCAATGATCCAGTTTTTCAGGCCTCTAATTCCATGAGATGAAGTATAAACACCCTCCAAATTCATAAGGTAGAAATACCCTGGGGTAGGCTCCTGCAAGGAGTGTGCCATAGTGCATTAGTTACTTTTCTGTTGCTGTGATAAAAAAAAAAAAAATACCTGGACAAAGACAGCTCTAGAAGGAAGAGTTTATTTGGGTTTAGGGTTCCAGAACAAAGGAGAGTCCATGTGGTGGGGGAGGTATGGCAGCAGGCAGCCAGAGCAAGAAGTTGAGAGATCCCATCTTCCACCTCAAACACGAAGTAGAGAGCAAATTGGAAGGGGAGTGATGTTGTAGAGTATTATTTTAAGGTTGTTACTTTTGTTTATCCTGCATTTGTTTAACTCTGTGAAGCTGTGTTACCGTGCCTGCCTAAAACACCTGATGGCCTAATAAATAACTGAACGGCCAATAGCAAGGCAGGAGAAAGGATAGGCAGGACTGGCAGGCAGAGAGAATAAATAGAGATAGAAATCTGGGAGGAAAAAGTAGCTGCCAGAGAAGGAGGAGGACTCCAGGGGCCAGCCACCCAGCTAAACAGCAGGCCACAGAGTAAGATTTACAGATATGAGAATGGGAAAAGCCCGGGTGCAAAAGATAGATGGGATAATTTAAAGTTAAGGAAAGCTGGCAAGAAACAAGCCAATCTAAGGCCGGACATTCATAATTAAGAATAAGCCTCTGTGTGTGATTTATTTCAGAGCTGGGTGGCGGCCCCCTGCAAAGAGCAAAGACAACAACAGAGTGAGGCTATGGACTCTCAAAATTCACCTCCAGTGACACACTTCCTCCAGCAAGGCTGCACCATCTCCCCAAACAGCACCACCAACTGGGGACCAAGTGTTAATACATGAGCCTCATTCAAACCACCACAGAGAGTCAAGATTTCTGGGCCCAGTGACATGCTTTCTGGGCCTTAGCTGGCAGTATTGGAAGTCAGATCAGACCCTGATACCATCTTCAAGCTTAATGTGTTGAGGCTCACTGTCCATTAGTACAGGGCCTGCCGTGCTTGAGGAGATGTTCCAGATGAATCTGCTGTAGATTGTCATCCCTGTTTTCTTTGCCACATTAGTCACTGATCTTGTGTTCCATCAGTGGCCTGAAAGTGTGGTCCTTGGACCATCTGCATGACTGAAAAACCTACAAAGAAATTCTCAGGTCCCATCCCATATCAACTATAACCTCTGGGGTTATGGCCTAAGGGTCTGTAATGTAATAAGCTACCCCTATCATTTTGATATCTTCCAAATTATGAAAATGACTGACAGCCCTCTGTGTGCTCATATACTAGCTATTTCTTGGTCCTGACTCAGCTTCCCACTGTCCTTACCTGCTCTTCACTCCCCACATCTCCAACTCAGCTTCTTATTGTTCTAATGCATTATCTAGTACCACTTCCCATGCACACTCTGGAGTACCTGCTCTTTAATGAACAGATGCCCTTATATATGTTGCATCCTCCAGGAATGTTTTCCCAATGCTTGCACTGATTGAAACCTGATCTCTGTGGTGATGACTCTGCCCAGACTTATCTACCACCAAGACAGGGGCTCATCCTCCTTTCTCTCTTCCACTGTCTCTAGATCATTATTTTTATCCCCATTCCTTTGTGAAAATTCTTATTTGCTGAGGCTCCTGTTCTGCAGTACTTAAGTTTATGTCAACCTGGTTTGGCTAAGGGATGCCCCAAATGGCTGGAACAACATCTTTACAAAAGCTATTTCTGGAATCAGCATTAGAATCAGTAGATTACAGAAAGAAGGTCCACCCTCACCAATATGGCTGGGCATCATCCATTGAGGACTGTATTAGTTACATTTCTTCTTGCTGTGACAAAATTCCTTGTTTGTTTCTGCTCTTTTTACTCTTTGGGCTCTTTGCTCTTTTGGGGGTGTCCACCACCCAACTCCCAAGTAAATCACACATGGAGGTTTATTCTTAATGATAAGTGACTGGCCTTAGCTTGGCTTGTTTCTAGCCAGCTTTTCTTAACTTAATTATCCCATCTACCTTTTGCCTCCAGGCTTTTACCTTCTCTTACTTCTATAAATTTTTTTTTTTTTTTGTGGAGAACAGAGAACAACTTTTTCTTTAATTACACTCATGATATTCATTAATTACACTCATGATATTAATTTCATTTGTGGTATTCATTGATTACATTTGCAGTATTCATTCAATAATTTATGATATTCATTAATTACATTAACTGTATCATTACATTCATGATATTATGTCCTGATACTACTGTCCATTTGTGGGGCTTTTCCATCACACAAAACAGAGATGCTGTACTTAGGAAATCATTGCTCTGTATTCCTTTCTTCTCTGTCTTGAGGTAACATCTAATCTTTCTGTCTCTCTGAATTTATATGTTTTATATATTTCATGTAATACAATTCTATAGTATTTGTCCTTTTTTTAATGTAAAAACATTTTATGTACAACTGCAGGAGAAATAATACTCAGATAGCCTGAACATAAAAACAGGTTATAATTTAACTCACTTCTGTAAATCTTACTTTCACTCTTACTCCGTGGCTGGCTGTGTGGCTGTGTGGCTGTGTGACTGTGTGGCTGTGTGGCTGGGTGACTGTGTGGCTGGGTGGCTGGGTGACTGTGTGGCTGTGTGGCTGGGTGACTGTGTGGCTGGGTGGCTGGGTGACTGGCCCCTAGCGTCTTTTTCTCCTTGTTCTCCCGTTACTTCTTCCTTTTCTCCCAGATTTCTCCTTCTGTTTCTTCTCTCTGCCTGCCAGCCCCAGCTGTCCTTTCTCCTGCTTCACTATCGGCCGTTCTGCTCTTTATTAGACCATCAAGTGTTTTAGGCAGGCAAAGTGACACAGCTTCACAGAGTTAAACAAATGCAACATAAAAGAATGCAACCATCTTTGCATCATTAAAACAAATGTTCCACAGCATAAACAAATGTAACACATCTTAAAATAATATTCTATCACAATTCCTATCAAAAGCAACTTAAGGGAAGAAGTGTTTTTTTTTTTTTCCCCCGGAGCCAGGGTTTCTCTGTGTAGCTTTGTGCCTTTCCTGAATCTCGCTCTGTAGACCAGGCTGGCCTCAAACTCACAAAGATCCGCCTGCCTCTGCCTCCCGAGTGCTGGGATTAATGGCGTGTGCCACCACCGCCTGGCAGGAAGAAGGTTTTATTTGGCTCAAAGTTTAATGATAATAATTCTTCTTGGCAGGAAAGTCTTAGCCACTGGAGTCTGAGGCAGCTGATCACATTGCATCCTGTCAGGAAGCAGGAAGGGGATAGGGAGAGGGAAGGGGAGGGGGAAGGAGAGGGAGAGGGGGAGGGAGAGGGATGGGGAGAGAGAAAGAAGTACTCAGTTCCCCTGCCCAGAAACTCAGTCCTCCGAATTCTATCCTTAGGGTGGATATTGCCCACCTCAGTGAACCCAATCTATAACCTCCCTCACAGGCTTGCCCAGAAATTTGCCTGTCTCTTAGATAATTCTAGATCCTGTCAAGCTGATAACTATTACCAGTCATAAAGACCCATATTGAACATAAATGTGGGCAAAGGATGAATTCTGAATTCTCAGGTCTCGGCTGCTCTTCATGGTCTCGAACACATTTCTCTCCTGCTTTCAGATATTGCTTGTTCTTGGAAATTGGGGCTCTTGGACTTCCAGCTTATGCCTGAAACTTTGTTTCAAGGGCTAGGGTGAGCCACTGAAGAGTTCAAGAAGCTGCCTGAAATGGTCAGAACACACTAACCTAAAGAAAGTTTAATTTTGGTTCAAAAAGTTTAACAATAACAGTCTAGCATACCAGAGAAGTCTTCTTATCCACTGCAGTCTGGGGCAGCAGGTCACAGTGCATCAGGAAGCAGGGAAAAAGAGCGGGGGGAGGGGAAGGGAGAGAGGAAGAGAGAGAGATGGCCACAGCACAGTGAGGAGAATTCAGCTGTGGTCTAACTGGGAGGTGAAAGTGTTGGACCAGAGAGATAATCAGATTCTTTCTCCGTAATGTTCCCAGGCTGGGAATGCAGTTTAGTGGTAGAGCACTTGCCAAGTACTTATAAACCCTTGGGGTTTGCTCCTCCGAGCTATAAAACAACCAACTACAACAAAAACTCCTTGTCTCTGAATTGTTCTCTGGAGATGGGATCCTGGACTAGCAGCATTCTATCAGGTAACGTACAGTCCAATTTTTCAGGCTTTAGCCTACTCACTCACATACTTTTATTCTAATTCTTCCCACCCCCCATCATTTTCAGCAAGTAGCCATCACCTCTATTTTACAGGAAAAATAAAATGAATCCATCCCATAGTAATCCCTTCCATTTCTAACCACTGTCGATACAAATAGCTACAAATGACATCCTTCATTCACTCACACAAAAGAAGTGTCTCCCCTCCTGCGGCTGAGTCCCCGGTGTCCACCATCTTGTATGTCCAAGTCTTTGCCTACGTGGGAAAAACACCAAAATTGCAACTCCTAACCGGCTACCATCCTGGTGTCGTCCAGTTCTTAAAATCAGTAGATTTCCCAGTTGCTGTCTTGACTGTTCAGAATTGTTTGACACAGTTGATTGTTTGAAATCATTTCTTCCTTTGATTTCTCTGATGTCATATTCTCGTTTTTACTTGCACGCTCCCTTCTCTGTATCAGCTTTCCCCAACACGTAACTTTCAAATGTTTGTGGTATCCTAGATCCTCTCATTTTTAATATTTCCATAGGTCTCATTGATTCTCATCACCAGCTTCAATTGCTAGCTATGTATGAATGAATCACACATTGACTGTTTAACCGGGACCTTGCCTCTCAACTCTAGGACTGATTCAAATGTCTGCTTAGTAAATCCACATGGATGTCTCATAAACTCTACAAACTTAACATGTATAAAATTGAACTTTCTACCTTCTACTGCACCACCTGGTCCTTCTGCAGAGAGAGCTCTATTTATCAGATGCACAAATCATAAACCTATGTCATGTAAGTCTCCTTTCCCTCCCTTACCACTGCCCCACATTTTGCCAATGACCACGTTCTATTTATTTCACCCCGAAGTACTATATATAAAATATATGTATATCAATCTAGCCCATTGAAATCTCTCCATATCTTCTGGCAGTCCTTGGTCTAAGCCAGTTGCTTTTATGACAGCCGTGTCTTACAGAATATTATTTTAACTGGGCAAAGATGTGTTATGTTTGTTTATGCTGCAGTATATTACTTTAACTATGTAAAGGTGTGGTACTTTTGTTTATTCTGCATCTGTTTAACTCTGTAAAGTGTTAAATGTGTTGCATTTGTTTCACCTTGCCTGCCTAAGGCACCTGTTTGGTCTAATGAAGTTCTGAATGGTCAATAGCTAGGCAGGAGAGGGAAAGGCGAGGCTGGTGGGCAGAGAGAATAAATAGGAGAAGAAATCTAGGCTCAGAAAGAACAGGAGGGATGAGAAAAAGGAGGAGGAGGAGAGAACGAGGGATATGCCCAGGGTAAAAAGCCAGGCAGCCACTGCCAACCAGATACGAGAAACAGTGGAAGTAAGATATACAGAAGAAAAAGAAAAGTAAAAAGCCCCGAGGCAAAAGGTAGATAAAGAGAAACATGTTAATTTAGTTAAAAGAGCTAGCCAGAAATGAGCTTAAGCTAGGCCAAGCTTTTAAAACTAATAAGAAGTTTCCATATCATGATTTGGGAACTGGTTGGTGGCCCAAAAGAAAAAGCCTGGTACAGTGGCCTCTTGTTTTCCTACATCCACATTTGCCTCTCTCCAATCTATTTTCTGCAAAGCAACCAGAGTGAGCTTTCAAGAATACAGATCTGATTAGACCGATATATCCTGTTTCACTCTCCTGGGGTTGAAAATGAGGTCACATTCCTCTCAGAGCTCCAATCAGATGACTTCAAGCCTTCAGCTTGTCTCCCTTGTGTGATAATTTCAGATTCCAAAGGTTCAGATTGTCTTAATAAACAGAGCTGGAAAATTTGTGCAGATTTTTTTTTTTACTTGCTGCGGCTGTCAGTAAAACACGGGATTCTACCGATTCTGTCATCCGTAGACCTAACTCTTTGCAGTGTGATTTGCTATGGCCAGATGTGACCAAAGAGCCAGGGTGGTATCCACCCAGCGAAAGGTGGTGCTCTAATGATCTGGGGGCCCGACAGTACTTACTTCTGGAAGGAGGGAAAGAAAAACACAACCTTTGGAAGTGTTCTCTTCCTTCAGCTATGACGGCTCAGTGTCATAGGCTTAGTTTTCCAACATTCCCTCTCTTACCTTACACATCTCTTCATTCATCCAGGGCTGAGTTGTTCTGATTGGTGACAGCATCTGCTTTTACTGTTGGAGGCAAATGGTTTTGTGGCATTCTGGCTGTTTCTGCCCAGCTCTGCTGCATGAGAGGTCCAAGAGCATATGGTGCCCCAGAATGGAAAGCAGAGCCCTAACCAATCCTGAGGTGTTTGAAGCCCTTGTGTGTGAATGAGTCTTGTCCAAGAGGCATCATTGCCTCTGTTGATCTGTAACCAAAATATCCTTAATTCTTGTCTAGGTTCTG